GGATTTCTTTTGTAAATGAAAACTTTAATAGCAGTTCCATTAACTATGAAATAATATTTTAAAATATTTCAGAATAGATTAATCTGTACATTCATATATTAAAGCAATCAAGCAAAATAATATGAGAATGACAGGACCATTCACGTAAAGTTATTGTCTATAAATATACATATAGATATAAGGAACTGGTTTTTAAAGATATAATGGAAAAAAGGATAAAATTTTAGGTTTACATATCTCAATGAAAACAAGAAATGTGGACATGGACTGATGTTTCACCTTCAACACTATACATTAATTTCAGCCTATTAAATGAATGGTCCGTCACATCATCACTCTTTACTAAGCCCTAATCGTTCGTCTAACCTTAGCATTTGCCCTATCTTACATCGTAGGGATAAAAAAAAGAGAGAGAATAGTGGGAAATGGCACACTTGTACTGAACCGTTTAGGCTTTATTTACATTTTGTGCACGTCACATGTACGGACAACCCTTGAATTCATATGTCGTGATTATAATTTGATGTGAAAGTAGTGGTATTGGGTGCTGCCTCCCGTGCTCTCTGAAACTGACAGCCAAAGTATATATGTGATAAGAGAGAAATATCAGATTTTCATAGATCATTACACTTTGATGAGAGACTAGATAGATGACATAGGACATGGTGCTGTCCCTTTAAGTTAACCAAGTTGAGTGATAATTTTCTTCTTTTTTTATCAAGCTTTTAGGCGGTGGATCCGGTTTGGCCAAAGTTGGAATGAAGATGAATCAACAAATTTTCTGGATTTATCCCTTGAATTGATAACCTTCGACTAAATAGAGATATTACACGGCCGTTGATGTAGCCGACAGACAGGATGTCTGCTATCTTTTATTTTCTTATATTGGTTTGATTTGTCGTGGGTAGGCGGGCATGCACCATGCTTATATTGTATATCTCCTTCGGCTCTCCACCACCACTACCTTTACCTTCACCAGCCGGATCACATGGCCCTATTTCACATCAGAAAATGACCTTTCCGCAAATTGGACGGTCGGGAATCGTGTTGCGATCTTGCGGAAGGGCAATTGTTTTCGTAATAGAGTTGGGAATCAACTTACTAAGAAATTAGAATTAGTAGTATAAATAAAAACAACGTTCGATGAATTATTTGTAAAATCTTTCATATAATGTTTATTTATGGAATTAAAAAACTGAGTATGAATAAAAATTTTATGTTCATTTAATAAATGAACTAACACAAACGGAGGTATAATGTAACACAATAATCCGATCCAACCCGAAGATCAAAGGACTATAACAATACACGGACCACCAAAATGGTTAATCCAATTTTTCTCTCTTTAAAAACGCATTAAACCAAAACACGATATCAAAATCCATATTAAAGAGTAAATGAGTATACCAATAGTTTTACAAAAGAGGAGACCTCCCAATATACATTCCAAATTTAATCAAATAAGTATCTCAAAATATAGAGTTACGACTCGATAGAATACAAGATCACTGTGTAGTACATGTCATCTAAACAAAATCAAGATGCATTATGATCAACTGATCTAATCTGGAATCATGTACCGGCGATAGCTCCTTGATTCGTCCTTCTAGGAACCTGCGGACAGAAACGCATTCCAAACACTGAGCTCACAAGCTTAGTGTCACACAAATAACTCTAAGATACTATATGTATTTATTTCATGGTTAGCGTACAAGTATAAGCATGGCATACAAACACACTGACACACGAACAAAGGTAGGTATCATGGTGTAGTCAGAGGGTCACTTAGCATCTCGGGACTCACACCCTTTTGTCCTACCTAAGATACCCTAGATAAGAACCAGTTCACTTAGTATCAGAATCTTCATCTAGAAAGACCCTCATTACCCATTACCTAGGATGCTTTCAGAGTCATAATATCAGAGCCTACATCCAGCTAGTCTACTCTTAAGAGCACTTGGAACTCCTCCGTGGTCACACAACATCAGAGCCTACGTTCAACTAGCAATTTAAGTGTATAAGCACTGACTTGGCACATCCGAATATCTCACCACACAAGACGATTATCATATATCTAAAGTAACTCGAGTGTCTTGATTGTTTCCCGAGTGTTACACAAAGATTGTTTTTATGCCATCTTGATTCACATCATTTCTAGTTATAACAATATTTATTAATTGTTCTCACTTGTAGCCTTATTAGAGAAGTTCTGATGACCCTTAATCCCCTTCCCAAACATTTGAATCAAAATGGGTTTCTTACCTAATTTAGGACGAGGGTACTGATACTGGGTCATTCAGTATCGATATTGAGCCTTGAGTATCGGTACTAATCTATGGTATTGATACCAAAATGGGCTATTGGAATCTAAAAGTCCTAGTAGTATCGATACTCTTATTTGGAGTATCGGTACCGAAGTTATGGGGTATCGATACCCCTCGGTACCAAAATTGGTCTCGATGTTTTAAAAATTAGCTCTGTAGTGATACCCTCTTCATGGTATCGACACTCACATGAGTACCGGTACCAAATTAGTCTAAAACCAAAAAGAGGTATTGATACTTCACCCTTAAGTATCTATACTCACTGAATAATATCAAAACCCACTGAATTGGTATCGATACTTAAGCCCAGAAATACTTTGATTTCTATGAAATACAACCTCCAACTCAACTCATACGGCCCTTTAAAGCCATTAAACGTTATGCAAGTCTTATGAGAGGTATAAGGGATCATAATAAGTCATTTAGCATGTTTTGTCCATCTTAAAAAATATCTAAAACCACAATCCAACAAAACTACACATAAATGCTCAATGAACCCAACACAAGCAAACAAATATGTGTAAGGACCTACATATGGTATAAGAGAGTCATAGGTGTGTTACCTTTCACTCAAGCTAAAGAAAAGATCACCAAAGGATAAGCTTCTCCTTACTTTTACCTTTGAAACTCTGTCTCTCTTCTTTCACTAATCACAATCAACAAAATGAGTTACTAACACATTTAGGGCCTTAAGGGGAATAAAATTGTGATTCCTAAGCTCTAGGAATGAGTTAGTAACACCATAGAACCCTAAGATCCAAAACCCTTTTGAACCCCTACTAAGGTTTCCATGGTCAAAACTTAAGATAAGAGGCTTGAATGAAAGCTTGGGATGTAAGGATTTTGTTTGTTATCTTAGAAAAACTGTAGTATGAATGAGGACCAATAAACCTTTCACCTTTGCTTAACTTCAAGAAGGAGAATAGGTTTTGAAAAGAAAGAAGAAGAAGACAAATAGCCGTGTTCTCCCAACGTGACATAAGCTTCCTTAAATGAAAATCAGTCCATCTTTGGTCCTAATTCAAAATACCTTTTTTAAGTGTAAATGGGCTCAAGCCCAACTCATGGCAAGCCCAAACTAACCCAAACCTCTTAATTGGTCTTTTAGTTTCTTTTAAAGTCCACTCAGGTTTACCCAAAGTTACTAACCTGAGAGTCGGGGCACTACATATAAATGTTCATTTATATTCATGAACAAATTCGTTTGAAAGTTCATTTATTGACTCATTTATAAACTCGTTATCTAATTTTTAGTTTCCTTTTTATTTTATACATTCTAAATATGGGTGAATGTGTGAACTAAATTGAATTTCGAGTAAACTTTGAAGATAAAACTATAAAACATAAGGACTAGTGGCATAATTTCATTCTTTTTAACTTTCATCAATTTCTAGAAATATAAAAGAATATGTTAGCGAATGATAAACAAACCAAACATGAATACATTAAAAAGTTTAAGCGAACACAAAGACGATATTAAAAATCTAAACAAACACGAACCAAACATGAACACATATAGAAATAAATAAAATAGCACGAGCACAATCTTATTTGTTCAAGCTCAGTTCATTTATACCCGACTTAATATAAAAATAAGTGTTTAAACTATATTATTTTTTTCCATTTTTGTGCCTAAATTATTTTTCGATCGATTCATGTTTCTAAAGTTACAAACATTAAATTTTAAGTGTCCCGACCATAACGACCTTTAAAAATCTCGTTAAATGACATGTGCCACATTCTGATAATTTTAAAGATTTTATATAAAGAAACTTAAAAAGAAATTATTATATTTAAAAATATTTTTTTAAAAAAACAACCCCTGCCGCCGCCGCCCCCAGTCGCCTCCCCTAATGAGGATTCAGTCGACGATAATGGCAAAAAACAACAGCGGCAAGCGTGGGTATAGGGATCATAATAAATGTTTTCAAAGTTCAAATTTTTTTAAAAAGATTTTCAAATTTTTGGATTTTTTAAAAAATTAAAATATATTTTAAAGTTTTTCATTTTAAATAAAATCTTCAAACTTATTAAAACTTGACACGTGTCACTTAATAAAATTTTCTAACTATCGTTACGATTGAAGCACTTAAAATAATAACATTTATAACATTGTGCACTTGTATTGACTAAAAAATAGTTTAAGCAAAAAAAATGGTATAATTTAGGCATTTATATCAAAATTTATTTTTAGATGAATATTAGCGTAATAATGTATAGAAAATGCTAGAGCTGCATAATTTGAAATGATTACAAATTAAGTTGAGGCAAATAAGCATTTTCCTATCCTAACTACATATGATTGTTTGTCATTTTGTGCAATAAGAATCAATAGCCGTCGTGTATAATACATCCTCTGTTCTATAATTTGTATCTTATACTGACTATACATAATTTTACACGTAATTTTATAAGACATATTTGACAAAAGAAAAAGATAAAATTATCTCTAAAATGTTATTGATATTTTTAACAATGTTTTGATGAGTGTAAAAAGTGAGACATATAAATATAAAAAGAAAATATAAGTGTTATTATTTGTTAACTTTATTAAGATATTTTGAATAGAAAAATTTTAAAAACCAAAAAATACGTATTTAATGGGACAGAGAGTATATATAACTACTGTAAAGAGCAGCTGATTATTCAATGAAAGCTCACTACAGTTTCCTTTTTTATTCTCTTTTTCCACTGTTATTACTATATCTTGAATTCTATAACTTCAAACGCCATCAAACTGCGAATTTAAGTGTTAATCCATTATCAGTTTTACGACCAGTATCCCCAAAAAGGCAGAAATGCATTGCTTAGAAAATCTTATGATCCTGTCATCACTGTTAAGGATTATGGTTAAAGGGGCAATATTACAACTAACGTTCAAGAATACTGGATTAAAAACTCCAACAGAGGCTTGCAAGCACGATATACAGCATTAAATATCAACCCACTAGAATGATGGTATTCATGCTGACAAACATATGAAGATGGCTAAGCCTTTGCTTTTCCTGCTTGATGAGATTGAATCCTCTGCTGCACCTTCAATATCTAGTAGACACAATGATCAAATTTAGGTTTTGCTTCCACTCAATATTAGTATTTATGAGGAGGCAAGTAAGCAACTACCATAAAAACGAAACAGCAAGATGCATACATGTACAAGGCAGTTTGTAAATGGCCATGGTATTAAAAGAAAAAACATAATTTGCTCTGTGATGTTAAACGCAAAAGTCTCGCTAATGCAAAAGGCAAACCAACAAATATGTAAACAACAGAGTGGCTTATATGAACAAATTTAAATGAAACTGGACTCTGATGAATCAGGCAAGGCCAACTAGTATTACAAGTTAGTACCTAAAAGAAGACAAATAGAGTATTAGCAAACTAGCACCCCACTGAAATTACTCACTTCAAGTACTTGTTAAGAGTCTAAGACCCCACCAACACCCCCCCACCCCCAACACAAAAAAAACATTATAATAAGGATTCAGTAGCAGGCTGAACCAAACAACCCTTGTTTAATGCTTTGAATCATATAAATAATCAATCTTAGTCGCAGATGTCAAAATTTTAATTCTTATTAATTTGCAATTCAGAAAAAATGGTGTTCTACTGTTGTTTAAAGTCAAATACACACAATTTATATAGCATTGAAACAACACAATAATAGCACTTTGAAAGGAAGAAAACCAACCGCTTCTCTCTTGCTGTGCTGTTTCTCTTCCAAATCTTGAAGAGATCCATCAAGCCGCTTCCTGTAGACGGAACCAAAGTTTAACAGTTCATATTCATGAAACTATGGGCATATACAATTATACAAGGCAACAAGGGTACTGCCGGAGCATGTAAAAGTAAAGAATAACAGAGGAAGTACATTTGATTACAACTCTGCAAAGCTTGAGGTGAAGCACATAAAAATGCACATTGTGGGCAGATTTCCATAAAAATTAAATCAACTTAGCACAGTACGGCATTCTAGTTGGTTTTCAAATTCTGGTGAGGGGACCACATTTGAAAACAACTAATTTACATTCTAAACTCATAATCCAAACACCAAACCTTTGGATCCAGAAGAATATGCTTAGCATGGCCTAGAAATGTCCCAGAAAAAATAATACCATAAATGATTTCTTAGACAAGATAAAAAGAAAGTGATACAAGATAAATTATCCACAATATTCTTTAGCAACAAAAGAAAGGTTAAAGGTAAAATGTAAAACGAATCTTACAATTCAGCCGAGATGTATTCGATTCTCTTACCAAAATTGGCATTAGCCTCTGCTAAACCTTGTTTAACAAGCACAGGACCGATCAACTTGTACACATTTGCATCCTCGTTTAATAAATCCAACTCCTAAGAACATTTTCAACAAAGAAAATAATCATAAAAAGACATTTCAAGGCTAATTTATTACTCAACCAATTAAATCGGCACAATAACGAAAACACATCGAAACCTTGAGGACTAACTCGTTCTCTCCTAACTGAATAGTGTATTTCTTCCAGACTTGATGATCCTTCGCTATATCTGGCGCACCGTTCGATAAATACATTAATATAAAAAAACTTTAGGGTTCCTTAATCGTAATATTTGAAAGCAAATAAGGATTAAGTACAGAAGACGATGAGAACGGGCTTGCTTTTTGGAGTTTGCTAAGATCGTTAGCTTTGTTTCCGAGGTCCCGCTGCAGCTCTCGAAGAGCTGTGGAGGAGGAACTCATTCTTCTTTTGCTGCTTTGTTATTCCAGGATCTAGCCGATTACCTATTCTGAGCTTTGATCGACAAATGCCGCGCTGTATAATTGAAAGGCCTATTTTAAATTTTTATTATTTGGGCCGTACATTGGATTAGATAGCTCAAGGTCCTACAAAATCCTGAATTTATTTGGGCCTTCTAGTAACATATTCACATCTGTAATTAATTGATATAATGTTAAAAAGATGTTTCTAAAGTTTATTTAAATAATTATTTTGATATCAACGGAGTTAATTTAAGTGATAATTAGTTTGATATTATTTAAACATGTTTTGAGTTTGAATCTTTTTGTATGTCAAAAATTGTAACAATCCAAAATTAGGGCTAGTGACTAAAATGGATTTTTTTTAAACTTTGAGGTCTGATTTTGAAAGATTGAAAAGTTCAGAGACTAAATTGGGAATATTTTGTGAAGGATTTTTCAGTAAATATTTAATGAAGTAAGGGTATAATGGTTATTTCATAAGAAAGAGTTTTTTTTCCTTTTATAAGGATATAACCACGAGGAGTTAAGAGTGAAAGAAAGAAAATTCTTGAGGTTTGATTATCTTCTTCCTCCCGTGGCTTTAGTGGTAAGGAGAGTTGGATTCAACTTGATTGTTTCTTTAATTTTAAGGTTTCTTTTGATTCTTAGAGTGATAAGAAAGCTTAAGAGAAGTTTTAAATGGTTTAAAACTCAAAGATGAATAAGTTATTAGAGATTAAGTAAAAAGAGTTTATAAGTGAATTATTGAAAAAGGAGTAGATGGATTTGGAAGTTTAATTTGACTTGTCATAAGTTGAAATAAGAAATTCAAAGTTTTAGAATTGAAATTAGAGCATGTGGAAAAAATTGTAGAATTCTTGATTTCAAGATATAGGATGGAATTTTGAAGTTAAGGATGTGTTATATGAATATTAATTTATTAGAGTATGTGTATTTAAGCTTAAAATGTTAAAAGGAGGTTATGGTAGAAGAATTAAGTAAGTTTGGTAAGATTTTCGGGCTAAAGAAGTGTGTTCTGTGCAGGAGGTATCGGTACTGTTTATCCAATACCGATACTTCAAAGAGAAAATTAATGATAATTGGTGCTTGGGTATCGATACTGGTTTAATGAGTATCGATACCATAAGGCATAAATTCATATAATTGTTTATAGGGTATCAATACCAAAGGAGAATTATCGATACTTGGGGTATCGATACCATTAAGAAAGTATTGGTACCATTTTGAAATAAGGATGGCAGAATCAAAATTGGGTATTGATACCGTGGAAGGGTATTGATACTATAAGCATAGAGGTATCGGTATTGTGCTTGTAGTACCGATACTACTAAAGAAGGAATTAAGGAATCAATGCTCGGTTTAGTTTATAATAGTAAGAATATTTTCAAGTAATTCGAATCCCGATATTAATTGGATTGTGTATTCGTGTAGATATCGATCAAGAGCAAAGTCCGGACAAGTCGACAAGTATTAATCATCGAGAATAGATAATAGATCGGTATTAACTAGTGAGGCCATGTGAGTGCATATTAGTTAGTATATGACGATGAATGGAAATAAGACTTGCGACAAATTTATTTCCTATATTAGAATGCATGAAATCCTGAATATAAGCATGTTATTGATATGGGTATATGTGTGATATGTTATTGTACATGTTATATGATCTGTGTGAATGAATGTTATGTGATTAAGATATCAATTATGTGCTAATGAAATATATGAATATATGAAAGGTGATATAAGCTAAATAATACTAATCTATGTGATTATGTGTGAAAAGGTATAAGTAATGTGACCATAAAGTATGTGAACATGTATATATGAGATAAGCCACGTGACAATATGTTATGTGAAAATAAATGACATAATTACATGAGTACAAGAGATAATGACGTGAAAAGAGATATGTGATTACATGAAAGTATTATATGAGCTATGTGATATGAATAGATAAATATGTGATAAACATAATTATAATGCCCATGTTACTTGTCATGAGAGCTAGAGGTATAGTTGGTATGTCAAGAGTCGAGGGTTCTTCATGGTTCTTCGGGACATATATGTAATCCTTTGGAACATATATGAGGTACTTCGGTACACTTATTTGATATATTGGAATATGTATGTGGCCCTTAAGGAGTGGTCTTTCGGGACATATATGTTATATGTGATCCTTCGGGATATATGTGTTATATGTGGTCCTTCGGGACAAATCCTATGTGCCCCTAGTGGAAATTATACGAGCTTTGGTGAGAGCATATGTGCACAACCTCTATGTACTCACATATCTTTAGTTCTCACATGTATATATGGGCTAGTAAAGAGATAATATAAATAAACTTGATATGATAATATGTTTGTTTCCTTGTGAAGTGATATGTGTGATATATGATGTGTATAAATGATAAATATAGGATCATATGATAAAAGGAATTATTGATTATTCTAAGAATAAAGATGATGACATATGTGCATGTGTGTATTTGTTATATGAAAGGATATATGATTTTATATGATATGATAATATTAATTGTTCATGCATTGAAATGAGTTAGAGTTTACATTACATGTTTTATATGCCTCGCTAAGTCATAGACTTAGCGTGTGAATGTTTCACACGTAGGTTTCGACGAGATTATGGAGCGAAGAGGAGCAAGACAGGTCAGATTCTCCTTTCCAAAGATCAGATCAAAAATGTATTTGAATACATGTATTTTGTTACATAAAATATAGTTGGCATGTAGTCTAAAGATTTGAATTGTATAAGCTCTGATATGTTTTGTAAAACCAATTGATTTTAATTAATGTAAAATATTCATTTTCTTGAATTGTGAATTTAAATTTTAACCATTTTGTAAAGGAGAACGCTTTGAAAAGTCAATGTGACACCCCGGACTCGGATACGGGTTAGGGGTTTTACAAAATTTCTTGCTAAGAGACACATCCAATTGTCGTTACACTTTTAGGTGCACGAACATCAATTGCCGTTAAATTTGACCGTTAAGTGACAAGTGTCACGTTCCGGTAATTTTGGAAATTTTATTTAAAAATTTAAAAATAAAAATATTTTATTTTAAAAAACATATTTTTTAAAAAAATATTAAAAATAACCCCAAACTTTTAAAACTTTTATTTTAATCCTTTTGTCACTGTCAGCCTTTACCAACTCCGTCAATCAACTGAACACCCAACGGCGTGTGACCTACCAACCACCAACGACCACAAGACCTATACTTTCACAACCAATCAAACGCCCAAAAATGGTGTAATAGAAAATTTTCTTTTTAGGGTTTTGAAACCAATAAAAATCCCTTAGATCGTTTGATCGAATGTAGTAGTCAGTCGTTTGTTGTTTGATAGGCGACGTGGCAATCGACTGTGGCAGGAGAGGGGGAGGAAAACACGGGGGATGACACTATTCAGTTTTTTTAATATAAAATATTTATAAAAAAATAAAAAAATACCATAACATGACACATGTCATTTAACATGAATTTTTAATGGCGATTAACATCTGGACACCTAAAATGGTAACGGAAAAAACTTTAGACACCTATTTTTAGTGAAAATTTCTTTAGACACTAAAATATTTTTCAAGGTAAAGTTTATGCACTTATTTTTGTATTAAGCCTAAATTTTAAAATAATCGAGCATAATAACTCCATTGAGTTAGTTTTGTGATTAAAGAAAATATTATTTTTTTTATAAATTTTGAGTCAAAAAAATTACATCTATAATGTGTGTTATCAATTATTAAAAAATAAGTTGAACAAAAAATATCTTACTATCATTCTAAATTATTAAAAATAAATAAAAATAATTGAGCATAAAGGCACAAATTGAAATTGAGAGAATTGATTTATTGAAACGTAACTTTCCAAAATTTTATCTAGTTAATATGTCTGGGCCTGGTTGTCCTTGTGGTCCAAAACAAGTAGTATTAACGGCTGTCCAGCCAACAGATTAAAATGTCCCCTTCACGCTCTCAAAGGGCGCGTCCCTTCTCAACCCTGGGTTCGGCATTGACCCTCCCATTATTTGTTGTCATTCAGGAATTCCTTCAAATGAAATTTTAATCTTACCCTTGTGTGTGTGTGTGTGTTCTAACATAGACATGAGATCTCATCCCTCGTCTTTGAATTTACAACATATCTCCACTGCGGGAATCTCTCGACTCCCTAAACGACACGCATTTGTCCCCGCTTTATTTCGCCTCCCAAGCCTTTCATCATCTCGGTTTCGCGCTGCTGCATTTTCTACTCTCCCCTTAAATTACAGTTAAAACGATCCCGATATGTACATAAGCGGTCTCCACAATTCCGTCCGCACGTCGTTAATGTTAACGCCACCAATGATGATGTAAGTAATAACATTCTGCTTCTCAATGTGGGTTTCGAAATGATTGTAATTGGAATCTATTTATATTTTCTAGGACTCAATGGGGATTTCTTCTTTTGATGAATGGGTGGTTGATGATTCGGTGGCAGCATGTGTTTTCTTCATCTAGTGATGGGGAATATAGCGATGGAGAAATCGTGTTAAACCCTTTGGCCGAGGTGGATTTGCCTCCAGTCTCAGCTGATGATTCTGTAACCATGAGGTCCTCCACTACCCGTCGGTATTCTTTGATTGGAAGAAGCCCAAACAAACACAGGCAAGCTCTTTTACAAATTTCCTGACAGAAAAAGCTTCAAATATTTAGTATTTTGATAAACAAATTACAGTAATTGTTTTGCGGGAGGCTTCGTGAATTAATACACTTTCCAAGGCGTCTTTTTTTTTTATAGTTTGCCTAAATCAATTTCAGG